CTCTTTTTCCTTTCTTTCTTTCTCTCTTTTTCCTTTCTTTCTTTCTCTCTTTTTCCTTTCTTTCTTTCTCTCTTTTTCCTTTCTTTCTTTCTGTTTCCTTTCTTTCTTTCTTTTTCCTTTCTTTCTTTCTTTCTTTCTTTCTTTCTTTCTTTCTTTCTTTCTTTCTTTCTTTCTTTCTTTCTTTCTTTCTATCACAGGTTAAACTACCTACTCCTCTATTTAGACTATCACAGGACTTTAAATCGTCCATTCTCATATAGCTTTCTCTGTACTGTTTACATTGTAGGCTCAATAAAAATGTCACAGAAGGCCCAGACCGACCTGATCATCATGCCTATAAAGCTGACCCAACCCAGATGGAATTTCAGGTCGGGTTCTGGTCAGGCTCATACTTTAAATTTAAACTCTAATAAAAATTGTCATTTTTTTCACAGTTTTGTGTCGTCCACCCCTTCTTGTCAAGAGCCCCTGGGCAAATTTTTCACTGAAAGTGCTCAGACAGCAAAGGCAGCATTTTATTTCTACTATTCTGCATTCAGAGGCTGACTGTTGCACCTGCAGGCAGATACTTACTGTATAAAGACAGTCAAACGGCAAAAAAATGCAGAAACAAGATAATACATTGTGCAAGGAGGAATCTGTCTGCTGAAAAGTGTGGAGCTTTAATAGGGACAGCTTTGCAGCCAAAGTAATGGTGTTTTAATTTCCTGGGGTGAAGACTGGAGCGGGAAGAAACCCCATGATGTCCAGCAGCGAGAGGGACTTCCCAGGAGCTCTGTGCCATTTGTCTCATGGGCTATGAGCAAAAACAAATGTTGAGCCACTACATGACAGTTGGAGCCTGCTGAACCCTTAAGATGTTTCAGTCATCCTGCTAAATGTCCCACTCTGATTCATAATAACTTTGACTAATCGTTCCTGATTTTAGGTGACACCTCCTGCAGACGGCGACCTTTTCTCCAACAATATCCGCTCCTCACCACTTGTCCCTATCAAAAATAACTCTGAGTGGAAAAGACATCTAAGCAGTGGTGGGCAGCGCTAAACCAAAAATTAACTCTGCAATTTCTAAAGCGCTTATGAAAATATTTAGGTCCGCAACCTCAAAAACGCTTATGACATAGAAAAACTAGCGGAAGCTAATTTTAAAGCACAAGTTCAATTTGATACTTACTAGCTGGCAACAATTCATGTACAATATATGCACAACACTGCCAACTAGTGGTGTATGAACTCTTTTACAACTTAATTCTACAACCGCTGATTGCAGGGGATGTGATTTCCTGAAATAGACCTTTAGCTCCTGGTGTAAAACTCAAAAAGTTTTTGAGGATTGCTAGTTCGGCTGGTTCTTTAAAAAGTTGTTGAGGATTGCTAGTTCGGCTGCTTCTTTGTCTTTTTCTTTTGTTTGTTGTAGATTTTTCATTAAAGAAGCATCAATAAAGTAATTTTAAAACTGTTTATTGGAAAACTGAAGCGATGCATTCTGGGCACATGATGGATTTGATTTGTGATGGGAAACGAAAGCACGCAGTACAGGAAACTATCTTCCCTTCAAAATAAGAGCTTGGATTTTAAAGTTTTCCATGTAGTTGCTGCAGTTGACCACTAGATGTCTGTCTTCACCAACTTAACATCTTTAAATCATTTCTGCGTCTCTAACCCCATTGGCCGATTGCTTCGACCAATTACGTCAAGTATTGAGCTCCAGTGTTTAAACTTTTTTTAAAGGAGCTCTGATTGTAAAGTAAAATAAATCAATACATACAAAATTTTAGTATGGATTACAAACATTTACTGATTTGCTATTGCCTTCCTGCTACGTAAGCAGACACAAAACATTGTGGGAAATGAGAACCATGACCCAAAGCAACAGTCAGCAAGGATGTATACCTTCTCAATAAGTGTGTTTAACTGGGAGGGGTGCTGTTGGATAGATCAGGTGTTGTGATTCATTGACAGCCATTCCTTCCGCTGTTCAAGATAATGATGACTGGTAGATAATTAGTTATTAGCAGTACTGCATTTTAATTTTAGAAAGCGCAAATCCCTTACGAATTATAAAAATTAGTAAGACCGCTAAAGCGCAAACGAAATATTTAGGTCCGCAATTAGCGGATTTGCGCTTTAGCGGACTGGTGCCCACCACTGCATCTAAGCATTAGTTCTGCTCACAACTTTAAGGTCCGAAAATACAAGTCAAATAAAAAATATGAGTAGCAGTGTGGCTGCCCACTGTAACACCTCACAGCCCCTCAGGGGTCACGCCTCACAGTTTGAGAAGCACTGCTGGAAACCTTCCCTTTCCCTCTAACAGATATCTTTTTGTCATAAATCTCCCCCGGCAATCGTCTCTACCCACTCCACCCTGTCTGCTCTCTCTTCTTGGCCGTTTTCACCTGTTTCCATCTCATTCATTCACTTCTCTCCGGAGCAAAAACTCCACCTCTCCAGGCTCTCTTCCACCTTCTCCCTATCCCCACCACAGAAAGGCAAACAACGTAAAGCTATTTTGTTTTAACGGTTCTTATTTTTGACTGAAGCAGGCGTATATTAGAAAACTTGTTTACCTTTGGGTTTGCTGTCTGCTTCCTCCCTGTGTGAGTCGTTCATGGTGGGATGAGTGGGCTTTGCAGCTGATGGTAATGATGGGACTTGCTAAAATGAAGCAAACCATACAAATGGGGTGATTCATCAGACACGAATGGAAATGTGGCTTCACACAGGAATCTACTCTAGAATCAGCGCAAGAAATGCATGAAATAACATGAGCATGTTTTTATCAAAATGCTAAAAAAGGTGATGGAGATTTTAATATATCAGAAACTGAATTTAATGTCCTGCTTTTAGTCAGCTACACTCTTGTATCATTGGTGTGAACCTGCAGCAGATAGACGGGTAGAAAACAACTTTTTTAAAGGTTGCCTGAGGTCACATGAAGACATGTGATGGTATGAACAGAAGAAAAAGCATGCCACACTTGGAAGTATGTGAGGAGTGAAGGAAAGCGAAGGAAGCAGAGTTAGTGGTGAAACAGAGTGACGGCTGCTGTGAAGAAGATACAGGAAAAAGAAGGGAGAGTTTCAGAACAAAATTAGACTAGAAAATAACCTGTTCTGGTATTACTACCGTCTAGCATGAAAATGAAAATAATTTGTGCAAAATGTCAACTTTACAGTAAAAAAATTTTAATTTCTAGCTGAAGTATCTTTAGTTTTCTATTAAAAAAACCTTCAGACCTCTTGTTTAAACCAGGATCAATTCAGTGTTTTCTCTTCTGGTTTCCTTTATAAAAGCTTTGTCCTATGGAGAGTCCTTTTATTCAAAATACAATAAATAAATAAATAAATAAATAAATACATAAATAAATAAATAAATTAGGGATGCACCGATATGAAAATGTCAGCCGATATCGATATCCGATATAATTATTGCTGTTATGGCCGATAACCGATATTTACCGATATTACACAAACATACAAAGTATATTATACACATACGCAAAAACACACTTGGGTTTTTTTTTGATACCATAAATAAACAACCAGATCTCTGACATGGCTGTACTTCAGTTATTCCTGGCTGCGCAGCATCAATATCACTATTATGATCAAACAGATGCCGCTCAACCAACCATCTCCCAAAACAGAAACTAAAGCTAAAAAGTGGGAAACCAACATCGGACGTTAATATCGGCCCCGGTTTACATATGGGACCGATACCGATATTCTAAAAAATGACCAATATCAGCCGATACTGATATCAATGCAGATATATCGCGCATCCCTAAAATACATGCTAAAAAACATGTTAAAATGTATTAATTTTGTTTTATTTCATGGGGACTTTTACGTACTTGATGGAATATGTATTAATACTTAATTAATTACATGATTGATTGATTGATTGATTGATTGATTGATTGATTGTATTTTGAATAAAAGGGCTCTCCATATTGTCCTGCCTGAATGTTCATTTTCCAACTAAGGGATAAAGAAAGAAATATTCTATTGTACAGAGCTGCTGCTGTCATTAGAAATGACAGCTTTTAATTTATTCGTAATATTTGTGATTCAGCCTTGATCTCATCTTGACTTAATTCCAAATCTGCATTATAATAAGGCTGTTCCATGTGTACAACGGTACAACTCACTTAATCTTCACATATCTAGTGTCTGTGCATCAAAACCAAATTCCAATGTATATTCTATAACCCAGCTCCAATGAAGCTGGGATGTTGTGTAAAACATGAATAAAAACAGAATACAATGATGTGTAAATCATTTATCAACATTCATCAGTATGAACATTGAATATCTTGCTTTTGTAGTGTATTCTATTTCATATAGATTGAAAAGTTTTAGCAAATCCTTGTATTCTATTTTACACAATGCCCCAACTTCATTGGAATTACATTATTATAGATGTAATATATTAGTTATCATTACAGTGTATGATATTCAAACAGCAAAAGTATCAGTATCTGTAGTTGTATTTGTCATACAATAAGAAAAACTGTGGTCCTGATAAGTTATCAAATTTTTTCTCGAGGTTGTCATGCAGTCAGAAGCCCATGCCCAGCAGTCATCTAAAACTAAGCCCATATTGAAAGTGCTGTCAGAGAAAAGTTTCTGTGAAAGAAATTATGCTGAAAAACAGAACATTTTATGTAAAACAAGCAGCAAAGTATGAAGCAATTTCCAGTGAAACCACAAACTTGAAAAAGCATCTTAAAAACTTACAGCAAGATCATTATAGGAGTTTTAAAGAGGGCATAAAAACTTCCCCTTTTTATTAGTTAACAGTAATAAAAATAAACCTTTACCTAACAGGCAGCAACTATTACCAATTATGTCCTTTACAAACTAGACATTTGTTAGCATTAAAAGCAAGCAGCTATAGCTTCAATTGAGCTCATAAAAGAAAATATGATTGGTCTTATTGAAGAAAAAAAACGTTTCTTAAAAAGTCCAGATAGAACATTAGAAAAAACTGACCGTAAGCTACGCAGAAAGCTACAAACTTTATTTAAACCACCAATACAGCAACAGTAAGTTGTAGCTAAAAATCATCTGCAAAGAAACAAAAACCAAACGAATGCTCTTTGTTTTTTATTCTTGTTATTAGAAACATTGGGCCTCATGCAAGAACCGTTCGTATGCACAGATTTGTTCTTAAGTTGTGCGTACGAGTGATTTAGGAGAATTTGTGGCATTCACCAATGTTTTCGTATTCTAAGATTTTTTTCAGATACGAACAAAATTCACGACCCCGCTCTCCCCAGCTACACTTTCCACGTCGTCCTGGGGGACTCCGAGACGTTCCCAGGCC